TATATATATTTATATATATATATATATAAATTTATACTCGGGTTCGATATTCATGTATTCTAAAACACATGACGTAAAGTATTTGAGCAAAGCTTCCTAAAGACATATTGGTAGAATTAGTATATGAATCCGAGAGCTAGATTGTATTTACGTATACATACATATGTACTGGATATCTGTATAAAAGCACTATTGGTAATATATTCATTTGTTTCTAAGTACACAATACTCTATGCCGTCGTATTTGAGGCTTACCTTCTTTCCAGGGCAGTGCACCGTGCTCCGCCGATGCGTTGCCTTTTAGTCCGTACAATCGCATGTTGAATGCACAATCCCTTCCAAAAATCCATGATATATACTTTTACGGTGGTCCAGTGTCTACAATAAGAGCCTAAATCACTATATGTCAGTTCGAGTCAGGTACAAATTAAAGACAAATTATGCTCTGGCGGCATGAGAATCGGTGCTTTCGAACTCTAGAGCTATTTGTACAGTCTAAAATAACTAATAATAAATAAAGTGAACTGCTTACAGATGTACAACTTCATATGCGGTTACAAAACATGTGCAATATATGTAGGTGTCTGGAGGTAGATATCAAGACTGCAGTCGTTGATATAATTAAGAAACAATTTGGATTAAAGAAACTTCCTGTGTATCATTATAACCTGTTAGCTTGTTAAATAGTACATACTACATAGGCTCACACCCTTAAATAACATTGAGCGCAGGGCACTGTCTCACAACTTGAAAATGAGACTCTCTTGTGCTATCTTGGTAAACATAACTGTTCCGTCTGGTATCATAGCCCTCTAAAAAGACAATGGTTCAGTTGTATTCTTAGTAAATCAATATTGAGATCAACTGAAAAAGCTGATGGTGGTAATCGACTCAGGGCTCTTGGTGGTAACAATAAAATTATTAGCTTCAACAGTGTTACTTTGTACAGTATGTTTTTAGAAATAGTTTATACATAAATGTTAATTGCAAACATTTATCCCGGTTTTTACAATTTTATATATATTTAGAAAATGAGCACAATAGGAGCAGACAAGGTTATGAGCAGACTTATTAGTGTCTTATTAGTTATTATATATATTAGAGTTTAGACTTTAGACTATGTACATAAAATAGACGCCGGACGGAGAGTGAGACTAAGGATCTCTATAAAATGCGTTTCATTGGCAGTTATATTTTTCAAATTTCTATTTAATTGGCAGTTAGATGACTCGAATTTTCCGTATTGACGAGTAATAACTAATAAAGATACTGGCTCGCCTAGAGAGAAAATGAAGTACATACCCGAAAATAAAATACACGTCCAGACTCCAGAGTCCAGACTCGCTGACCCTTCATTAAGGGTCCATAGACCATTAAGAGTTCATTTTTATAAGTAATATATGTACTCTATAATGCCAGGAAGGTCTGTTAGATATTGATGATTGGATGGCACTTTTGAGCTGCAAACGTGGGGCTATATATATTGACCCAGCACTGATACAAACAGGAAATCTGGAATCTTTAAAACGTTTAAACGAATAGAACGATTGGGATGAGATAAGAATTCATATATTACTCGTTAATATTGATTTAGTGATATACCACTGAACTCGCCACCCATCCGCGCCCGGCGGTCTGCTCCGCTCAAATACTTTTAAAATATTTACTAGTTGACCTGAGAGTTGACTATATCCGATATCGGACCTTTTTAGGAGTTTATGAGTCCATGACTATGTATCAGTATCACTACTCTCTCAGCCCTCTGTCATCTTCAGGAGGTTATGATTTGTGACGTTGTATTTTTGTATTTTTGTAACCAATTGAAACTTGTGACCGACGTTTTGTCCAACAAGTTTTCAATACACAATGCTCTGCAAAGACACGGTGGCCTGCATAAATAAATACAACAGTGTTCGACTTGCTAGGCACCGCTGCCACTATAGTGCTATAAAAAAAATTACATACTAAAGTGCACAGCGTCAACGTACGATAGTCATTCACGAAGTCGGCACTATGTTCAGAAACTATGCGCTGTCGAGGCGGGTGACATTGGCCGGCATCGCTAAAGGATCGCGCCACATCAGAAATCTGGCCACAATTGATCAGCGTGCCAGTATCATCCGTACAGAAGTGGACAAGCACGACGAAAATTATAAGGTTAGTAGTGATGATCTTTCGCCTAGTTGATGAAAACGTACGCTTATAGATAGTTCAAGATGCTGAACAATGCTCATGGTTTCTGATTAGGTGCAGAATTGGATCCTGTCGTGTATTTGAATTCAGAGATGATTATTGCAAATTTTTGCATATATTCGTTCCTGCACATAAAAAACACAGACACGTACACGTTAGTATATCCAATCGCTATCATAAACAGATATTCATAATTGTACGGACATCAAAATTATCAAGTTATATGTAAATTATATATATTTTACA